TTTAGATGTTCCTAAATATAAATAATAGTAATAAAGAATAATATAGTTCATATTTTTAGGTCAATTTTGTATTGCTCGCTACACATTACACGAAAATAGGATATAAAAAATATAATTAATAAATATTTATTTCATTGATAATGATTTCTATTTCTATATTAGACATATTAATTGAATTTATGTAGTTTAGGTTCATAAAAAGAGAACTTAATTTTTATATCTAACAAGTTTAATTATTGCATAAAGAAAATAAAAAATACCTGCCTATAACAAAAAGAAAATTCCTACCACACATATATTTCAGTATATTATCTACATTCAATATCTAAGTTGTATTTGCATAGTTTAGATTTATGAACGTAACTTATTTTTTATATCTATCAACCCTCGTCATTGCGTCATAATAAAATTGAAAATGTGATTAAAAAATGAAAATTAAATTCATAATAAGAAAATATACATTCCACACACAAAATACATACATCTCAATAAATAGATAATACATAATAGGTACATAAAAAGTACATAGACGGGGTACTAATCCAGTATAGATATAGAATCAGAACAAATGACCGAGGCTAAGTACGGAGAGAGTTTACGACAATGCCTATAAGAAAGTGGCGTCGCGTTATAAAATTTGCATTCGTCGGGCGGGTAATGCAGGCTTGGGGGAGCCACTCAATATGGAGGTGGCTTATACTATGTCTTTGTTTAATATTTTATTTCTCTTTTATAAAATAGGTTCTAAGCTCCAATTTTGTATATATTCTTATTGCACAGATAATACCGACAATACATAGTGTAAAAAAAAGTCGCTGTCGCTGTCCGTCCGTCCCTATGTATGCTTAAATCTTTATAACTACGCAACGGATTTTGAAGCGGTTTTTTTTAATAGATGGAGTGATTAGTAATAATATGTTACGATATAAGTGCATCACATCGTAATATACTATTAATACTGTATGCATGGTCAATGGTTATAACATTTCAGCCCGAGCCAAAGACGAGCCGAGTGTGTTAAATACCACGTGTATTTTAAGATTTTTAATACATTTGCAAGGAAATAGAATAATAAATTATATTATATTTTGTTCATTTTGGTACTTTCCCGCCATTTTACTTTTTTAAATCAGCGAGCTGCATGGCATCGCCTGGCGTTTTTTCGAATTTCAAAAATAACAAATAGTGGTGCGGTTATGGAATATAACTTAATTATTTGCATTTATAACGCACGCGTGTTTTTTGAGTTGCGTTATATATTGAAAACCGGTGCTATTAAAAAAATAGAAAAATAGTTTAGGTGCGGTTATGGAATATAACATCTAAAACACTATTTGCGTTTATATACGACTCGAAAAACCGGAAGTGATAACACTTTCATCCTATACTTCAACCCCTTCAACTTCATTATTATTTTTTGAGTTGCGTTATATATTGAAAACCGGTGATATTAAATTCACTTTACGAGTATGTTGAAAAATAGTTTAGAGACAATATTAGTATATAGATAGTAGTACTAGAAGAGATCTCTTCCAAAATCCAAAACAAAAGAGAGTACGTTCTATTTATGGTATGGGCGAGTCATTACGTAGTCTTTAAACGTCCTACAACTACTCGTACAAGTAGAAACTTACGCAATAAAAAACCGGTCTACACAAAGTGTTAAACTGCCAGAGTCTCATCTTACAGAGAGGCAATTCAAATCTCATATATTAAACAAATGTTATGTTTATAAGATAGATGAATTTATAGATGATAGCAATATATAGCAAGAATAAGTTTATTTGCGGACAACGTTATAATTTTAATTTTCATATTCTTTTTAGCGTAAGGTTTTGTATTGATTGCCGCAAAGTAAAAGACGTGTGAAATCGCGATGATCATAGGTTTTTAACAATAATACGATACGGTAGGGAAAAAAATATGAATACAAAAAACTTGACGTTCATAAGCGGCTAAAATGAAGTGAATGAAATCTTTGTTTTGATTTGATTAAATTGGACAATCGCAAAGCGGTCTCCACACTCGTGAACCTGTGGGGGGGAGTTGTCCAACCTCTCACGAGGCGACTGGGGGGCGGTGGGTATAACAGGAAAAAGGAGGGTAGGAAAATTTCCATTTTCTTACGTCTTTCCAACGCCCGCTCTGCAGCAGTTTTTGATTAACGGACGGTAAGGGGCGAAATTTCATTATGTATTCATCCCCCCGAAGGCTTATTTACTTGCGGTGGGGGTGTTATTGTTGTGGTTGAAATTTTGGGTTTTGTAAAGTTTTTCTCAGATGTATAAAGATTCATATAACATTGTTAATTACGAATAGATATTGGAATGCAGACAAAGTGAAGATGTTAGAGCAAAAGGTTTTACAAATCCGCACTAATATCATACAAAAATGTCTGTCTTTCTGTCTGTCCTGATCTTACTATATTAAATGCGAAAGTTTGTGTGTATGAATGGATAGATGTTTGTTACTCTTTCATGCAAAAAATACTGAACGGATTTTAATGAAACTTTACAGTAATATAGCTTATACTAATGTATAAGCTATATGACAGTAAAACAGAAACAAAGAAACATAAATCGACCTGGTATTGAGAAATTTACTTACCTCATCTACTCACCTTACTCTCTCCTAGAAAAAGAATAATATCCTCTCTTTTCAGGAAATATAACGGGCAGATTACAATTCTAGTTTCTAGATCTGCTGTAACTAGACCGGTTACAATGATTTACAGCGCCATCTGGCAGTTTAAAATTAAGTTTTGGTTCTCACGTAGAAAGTTTACGAATGTTGAACAATTAAAGTGTCTACAGTCCACACGATTCCACTCCCGATCGGTTGGGCAGACTTGTAGGGTTGATCTAGAATGTTCCATTGAAATAGAGAAATAGAAATGGAAATCTTTATTCAAATAAACTCAATACAAGCACTTTTGAATAGTCATATTTTTTATTCTACCACTCATTCGGAATATAGAAGATACATCACAAGAAGAATGAGCGAGAAACTTGTGTGTTACTCTTTTGAATAGATAGATAGATTTTATATAAATAATTACACAATAACAAGTAAGAGGCATGCGATAATCAATTTAATCATTCATATTTGTCGTGTACCTATATGTATTTAGTATTATATAAACAATCAACAATGTTCTCGATCAACATTTGGCACCATTTCGTTTGTTGTTTCGAAGGTATCGGTGGTCTAGCGGTTTAGCACTAGGCTCTAGTTCTGACGGTCGCGGGTTTGACTTCTCGCACATTGTATTCTACTCGCATATTGCATTATTTGATACAAACAACAAAAACTACAATACGGGCCATGTGATGGTAAATGTTTATCGTAGCCCACAGGCGCCTGAAACACCAGCAGCATCACGTGCCGTTGGCCATGCCGACCCTTAAGAAACCATAATATTACCCTTCTAAAAAAACCCCATGCTGTAGTTTCTCGAGAAAACCTCGGCAGGTAGTTCATTCCATAATCAAAGTGTACGCGGGAGGAAGCTCCTCTCAAACCGCACTGTCCGAGACCACTTAGAGTGGAATCCACGCTGGAGCATATGGGGATGAATTCCCTGTCGATGGCTTGCGAGTATGATTCTTTGTATCGGTCTGGTTGTTTTCTACGTTTATCATGTTTGTATTTACAAAAAATAAAATGTAAGTATATAAATGTTTCCATTAATTGTCAATTGAAATAATAAAAATGTTCATTTTAGTTCATGAAAAACTAAAACGAATATTATAAAAAAAAACAGTGTCGATAACACCAATAATGGAAGACATAGACGGATATATGTACGCTATCATATTGTGAACTTTGTGAACAATTATTTTGCAGAGAAAAACGCCGAGTAGTATTTGAACGAGTTGTCGGAGAGAAGTGATCCGCATCGCTGGGACTCCTGGGAGAAGTGTGTAGAATTATTATAATTACAAGAAGAATATATAGAAAATAAATAAAAATATATATATTGTTTCATTGTTAGGTTGCAATCCACCCACGTATATTATAGTTTACAAAATAAACATACATACAAAATAAATTTCCCAAATAATAAACACCATAAGAGCGCACTCTCACATGTAAAACTAAATATGGCTATTCAACGATAGATGTCGCTACTTGTCATATATTGTCACTTCTGCTTCAATATTGCGACAGTTAATTACTTAAGTATATTGGTTACTTATATTTTAATTATCAAATTAAAATTGGTATTTTATAAATAACATTAATATATATGCTAGCTTATTTTGAATTTATATAAAAAGTTTTAGTTTCTCGAACGGCCGCTAGGGGAACAAGTTTTAACTATCTTTAGTGTACCTCTGTGTACATAGATGTCGCTACTGAGTAATAATCTCTTAGGGATGATAATGGAATAGTGCACCGGCCTGCACTAACGGTTCACGTTGGCGGGCCACCAGTGGAGGATAATAAGATGAGTATGAGATTAGGATAGTTAGCATATCGTGGTAAACTGACCATGAATTTAACATGATGGTTTCCAGAGAGAACCACGTGGAGGATAACTTGATATGGTACATTGCTAGTAATGGGGTCATCAGTTCATATTACTAACAATCCCTTTTCCCTATATGTATGTATATTTACCTCTGTAAATACATATTTCATGTACATAACACAGGCTCTGCTTCGCTTGGGACTAGATGGCGCTGTGTGAGTACTTCTGAAATATTATTATTAATTAATTACAAGGTACTCATGAAAGCGTAACAAACAAATACACAAACTCACTTTTTCATGTATAATTCAGTTGCATTGGACTGAACATTGGAAATTTCACGTTTTCATTAAATTTTTCAATTCCATAAAAATCGTTGACGTAGGTTGCAAATTCGTGATTAGGCACCGAATGTGTACATACAAGTGCGTGTAACTCGTAAATTATTAATTTCACGTCGTATTAATCTTACTAATCAACTCCTGCGCAGTTGTTGATCGACTCCAGTCTCTTGCGCGTGTGTACAATGCTCAAAGTTAGCTTTTTAACTGTCTGGTTATTTCACTGTATACTGCCAGCGTTTCAAGAGAGTAGGTCACTGTGATATCTTAATATTAACTATTGACTGTGCCCGCGGTTTTACCCGCGTGAAATTTATACCCTATGTGTTTTTCTGATGTATAAATATATTATTGTAAAGTTTCATCAAAATCCGTTCAGTAGTTTTTGCGTGAAAGAATAACAAATATATACTCATAAACTTTCGGGTTTATAATATTAGTAAGATTAATTTGACCTTTATGGTGTAGCGGATTAAAAAACAGCTTCATCATCAGATGGTTGCAGGTTTGATCCACATAACACCTGTGCAAGAAGAGGATTGTTAGTAATGTGCATTAATATCACTATTGCTAGCAATGTACCATGCCAGGTTGACCTCCACGTGGTCCCTCCTGGAAACCATCGTGATAAATACATGTTTGAATCATCTTCTACTGCAGCCCCGCCAACGTAAACCATTAGTGCAGGCGGGTGCACTATTCCAATATCAAACATCATATGTTTTTTTGTCATATTCCATTATTAAAAGTAAATCCATTCGAATATCAAACAGTATTAATTTCGTTTTTAATATTCTATTATAAAAAGAAAATAAGGGCTGAAAATTTTGAAATTTTAGAAATTATATGAATAATCCAAACTAAAATTTCAAAAGTATCAGTTATTGTATTAAACACGCGATTTGTGTGTATTAAAAAAATTAAGAACGTGTCAACTAGTTGTCTAGTAACCAATCCAAGCTTAGTTTGTAACTAGATGGCGTTGTGTGAATTGTCCATACTTATTAATTATCATTAATAATTTCCTTACAGAATATAACGTTATAATTATACCAGTACAGAAACAACAAAAAATTCCAATAAGAACAAATAAATTACTCGACTGGAGTGCACCAAAAAGATTAGTATTCAAAAACCCATTCAGAAACGGCGATTATTATAAACTCGACATAGAGGACTATGAGGAACCGACAGAATCGCCTGATATCGATAATTTCGATTATATAAAAGTACGAGACGATTATCTAAAGGGGGCTGACGATTATTTAAAGAGAGGTGATGATTATATAGACAGAGATGATGAATATGATGAGATAAAATCGAATTATGGCGAAGATAAGATCGTCGGTGGATACGAGGTTGATATCAATTTGTATCCGTATCATGTGGCGTACGGCTCTAACTGCGGTGGAGCTATTATTGATAAGAAATGGGTGATTACTGCTGGACATTGTGGGTAAGAACTTTTTTTTTATGCCACTGTTCGGACGTCGTCGACTCGCGGGACTGTGGTGGTGGTAAACAGGCATGATGTCTATCTGATGGTAGATGGCTGTCGAAGCTCTTCTATGAAACACCAGGAGTGTGACATGAAACTTAAAAATACGTGTGCCCGCGACTTTGTCTGCGCAAGAATAGTACTTCGAGTAGTTTTATTGTTTTCCCAAGTTCTTCTAGATATATATACGAAAATTAATATATAATATACAAAGAAAACACCCACACCAATACAAATAATCATACTCATGAATACAAATGACGGCACCGTGCGAGGAATCTTGTGTTATGGGTACTAGAGAACTGATAGAAATACCAGACATATTCTTTTGTAAATACGTACATAATATACATAGAACACTCCCAGACCAATACAAACAATCATAGTTATGAATACAAATGTTTGTACCGCACGAGGAATCGAACCTGTGAATATGGAAATAAAGCAGCATACCGGAGATCTCTGAGCCCGTGAAACAAGTTCAGCCGCGGCAAAGTTATAAGTAGTTATCCTTACTTATTAGTACTATTTTTTTATGGATGACAATGGAATGGTGTAGGTACCCGTCTGCGCTAATGGTATACGCTGACTGGGCACCAGTGGAGGATGATGATGAGATGAGCATGAGGTCAGGTCAGTTAGCCCATCGTGACAAATTCACCAAGAATTTATCACGATGGTTTTCAGTGGAACCGCGTGGAGGTCAATCTAACATGGTACATTGCTAGGAATAATATCATCAGTCCACATTACTGACAATCCCCTTTCCACTCTTAGTACTATTATACTATTAAGATTTCCACATTTTCCCAACAATATATTTTTCTATAATTTCAAAGCAAGAAGCCATACATAAGAGCAGGATCAAAGTATTTGAACCAGGGTAGAAAAGTGGGGGTGAAACAGAACCATATCCACCCCAATTGGGGGACGAAGCACAAGGAGCACCCGTTCGATTACGACTTCCAACTCCTGGAGCTGAATGAGAATTTAAGGTTTGATGAGAACATTCAACCCGTGAAGATAGCTCATATTGAAGATATGGTAATTGGGAAGGTGGTCACGGTTACTGGATGGGGGAATACAGAGGAAAATGTGAGTATATCTGTACCACATTACTCTAAAACTTCATAGACATTTTACTTTCCTGCCACACATTATATTATATCCAAAACATGCTAACTAACTATTCATTTCTTTAATTTCTTTCTTGCCAATTCAATTTAATCTGTATACTGAACTGAACATTAAGGAAAATAGTATTAAAAAGGTATTATAAATAGAAAAAACTTGACGTTCATAAGCGGCTAAAATGTCCTAAGTCAATGAATGAATTTTGATTTCATTCGATTATATTGATTTTTGGAGATAGTCGTGGTTTAGGTACTTGTTCGATGCCAATAAAAAAAAATGTGTGTCAATTTACATTTCTGACTGACTGTCCGATGAAGGTAATACCGATATCAAAACAAAACGTAATTCCGAAGGCAGTGGACGGCTCTCCTAAGATTGGCTTGTTTCTTAAATCCAAATAGATTTCATTTAGTACTTAAAATACGAGAATACAGAAAAAAAAATATCTTAGCCAATTCACAGAGCGCCATCTAGTCCCAAGCTAAATATAGCGTATGTTATGGGTACTAGACAACCGATATAAACGCAGTTTTCTTAGTAAATTCATAACAGTTTAAACATACTCATGAATACAAATGTTTGCATCGTGCGAGGAATCGAACCCGCGACCATCGGAAGTAAGACAGCGTGCTAAACACTAATCCACCGAGGCCGTCACCTTCTTCGAGTTATGTTCCATTTAATTTTCAATTGTTGAATCTTGTACAGTTAATTATGCAACCGCGAGAATCACGCGCAGCCTAAGACTGGATTGTAAATTAAAAAGCCATTTGGTTACGCCTCGGACATATTTCCATTAACCTATATGAATGTTTCTTATTATGGTTAAACTACGCATCTTGATATACAGTTGGTCTGTACATTTTCTATATGTGGTGCGGACACACTGCTCAATAATGTTCTATAGAAAATATCTATGTTTTCTTTAATCTCTGAAATAACTCGTACGTAAATTTTTGCAGGAGTAATAATAATAATTACACTAGCCACACCAGTCACACAATGAGTACACACAAACTCACACATACACACACGCGTTCATACGCACGCAGACATGCGCACGCTCACACACTCAGACAAACTGCACTTACTTGGTTTCGGCCCGTAAGTGTAAAAAAAACAGCAAAAACTGAGAGAAAATAAAAAAATAATAATAATAAGTTTATTGTACCTTGTTTATTGTGTGATTTAACTAAGGTTATATATCTATATTATTTCCATATATATATATATATACAATAGTTTTTAAAACTATTTAATACCAAGTCCAGTGCAGTAGTGTTTAGTACCAAGTCCAGTGCAGTAGTGTTTAGTACCAAGTCCAGTGCAGTAGTGTTTAATACCAAGTCCAGTGCAGTAGTGTTTAATACCAAGTCCAGTGCAGTAGTGTTTAATACCAAGTCCAGTGCAGTAGTGTTTAATACCAAGTCCAGTGCAGTAGTGTTTAAACTGGGCCTAGCTTGTATTTCAGACACCATTGCCCTCCTAAAGATAACTATACGATTTTTAGGAGTTGAACGAAAAAATTAGACTACTGTAGGGTAGGTTTATACTACGATGGTGGCAATCAAGCATACGGCCCATCTGATCATCTGATGGTAAATGGTTACCGTAGTTTATAGACGCTTGAAACACCAGGGGTGTCATCTTGTTTTGTTTGTCTTGTTCTTGAAAACCCCATGCTATAGTCTAGTGAGAAAACCTCGGCAGGAAGTTCATTCCAAAATGTTTTCTATTTATATTACATATCAAACAAACATACTCATGTATACAAATGTTTATACAGTGCGAGGAACCGAACCCGCTACCATCAGAAGTAAGTCAGTATGCGAAACCGCTAGCAAATGTTGTACAAGTAATAGGGTACTTCTAATTTAGATATGAATTTTAATAAAAAAAGTTCATTCAACGCGGACGATGTCGCGTGTAACAGCTTGTATATAGAGTAAACGTTATAGCAAGAATGGATATTTTCTATGTACTATGTGTCATTCAAAGTATATAGGTATTTCTATCAATTGTCCAGTACCCATAACACAAGTTCTGTTTAGCTTGGGACTAGATAGCGCTGTGATAATTGTCCAGTTATATTACTACTAGCTGTGCCCGCGACTTCGACCGTGTGGACTTTAACAAAAAGGTTAATTAGAAAATTTTTCTAATATAAAAGTAGCCTAAGTTACTCCTTATTACATCAGCTACTTGCTAAAAAAAGTCCCGTTAAAATCGGTCCAGCCATTTCAGTACCTTTATTACCTCCAAAATGACTTGTTTTGTTGGTGTAAGTCAGTGCAGCCGCGGCATTACACTTACTGTCATCAATTAGGATGTAATTTGCATTACTTATTATAATATTGCAATTATTATGGATTTCACAAATTCCTACATAATAATAATAATCAACGAAACTATTGCAAGGTGCGTCTCTACTTGATAAATACATTTAGTCAGATTTAAAAACGATCTCGACGGCCTCGGTGGTCTAGTGGTTTAGCACACCGACTTACTTCCTATGGTCGCGGGTTCGATTCCTCGCACGCCACAAAAATTTTTATTTTACGAGTATGATTGTTTGTATCGGTCTGGGTGTTTTCTATGTATGAAAACACCAAGACCATCTATATATTTACGAAATATAATCTATGTATTTATATCAGTTATCTAGTACACATAACACAAGCTTTAGCTAGCTTAACTTGAAACTAGATGACGCTGTGTGAATAGATAAGAATCATAAAAATCGGTCAATGAAAGTAGGTACTTTCACAAAAAAGAAGATAGGGCCGTAATTTTTTTATGATTATCTCTTCTTTTCTTGTCTCGCATCTTTTCTATGCATCGCTGTACTTTTTTTCTTTTAGGATAAGTATAAAAATTAAAATCTGGCGATAGAAAACATCGTTAATATACTGCTTATTGTAGTGTTGTTCCATAATGAGTGTTATTTCTTTGTTATTGTAGGGTCCATATTCCAACGTGCTCAGGGCTGTGCGGGTGCCTATAATATCCAAGGAGAACTGTCAAAATGTACCTTTCCCCTACTTTAGGGGTGCGCTAACTACTAGAATGTTCTGTGCCGGCTTCTCTGAAGGGAAGAAAGACGCTTGTCAGGTAAGAAGTAGGAATTACACGAGGTATAGTAACTTGCTTCTGAGGACTACCAAATCAGTGGTTTCTATGTATATTTTGTACTAGCTTTTGCTCGCGGCTTCGCTAGCGTTAATTTATCTTAGGGGTGGAATTTATCAAAATCCTTTCTTAGGGAATGCCTACGTTATAGGTAGGTTTTCAAAGTTTCATAGAAACTTTCATCCCCTATTTAATCCCCTTGGGGGTAGAATTAATCAAAATCCTTTCTTAGCGGATGCCTACATCATAACATCTACCTGCATGCCAAATTTCAGCCCGATCCGTCCAGTGGTTTGAGCTGTGCTTTGGATCACTACGTCAGACACCTTTAAGTTATATATATTTAGATGTATTTAATGTGTTTACGGGGGAAGATAATTGTTAGTAATGGAGCCAGTGACCCCTTGCAATGACCATTGCAATGTACCATGTTAGATCGACCTCCACGCGGTTGCCCCTGGATATCACCGTGGTTAATTCTTGGTTATTTGATCACGATAGACAAACCTGACCTGACCTCATTCTCATCCTGTCATCCTTCACTAGTGATCGTTATAGAGGGCGGGAGCATCATACCATTATCATTCATTTAAAAGAAATAAAATTCAAAAAATATATGTTGTTTAGTGTTAAACATACGTTGTTTAGTGCCCATAATATAAGCTCTGCTTAGCATGGGACTAGATGGCGCTGTGTGAATAGTCCATTGTTCTTATTATTACTTACTATAGACCACCCCGGTGGTATAGCGGTTTAACACACCGCTTTACTTCCGGTCTTGGGTTCGATTCCTTGCATGATACAAACATTAATATTTATTAATACAATTATTTGTATCATTCTAGGTGTTTTCTATGTATATTATTTACAATAGAAAATGTCTAGTATTTATATCAGTTGTCTAGTACCTGTAACACAAGCTCTGCTTAGCTTAAAACTAGATGGCGCTGTGTTAATTATCCAGGGTTATTTATTTATTTATTATTTGTTTTATTTTTGGACTACTCTAATGCTGTTGGTCGCAGCTGGCCTTTACAGCTTCACCGGACGATAGGGGGCGAGTGCAGATGGCACTCCAAACCAAAGGAAGGACTTATGAAGTAGTTAAAGGCCAACTCCCGCCTGACGGATACTAGTTTAGTCTAAGGGCATCGCTAGGGGTTCGAACCTCGGCTCAGGACGTCGTAATTTTGATCCCCGTTTGAATTGGACGGGGGATCGATCAGAGTTGTTATTTGTTGTAATATTCTAGGGTGACTCCGGTGGACCTGCAGTGGCTCACGATAGGATCTTAGGCATGGTGTCCTTCGGGTATGGTTGCGCCACCCCTGGTTCTTACGGCGTGTACAGCAAGGTCGCCAAGGTGAGGCCATGGATAGAGCAGACCACCAAACTGATGTTTGATTAAAAAACTATTTGCATACATATTAAATAATTTAAGATTTTTTTGGAACTTTATTTGGATTTATAAAAAATATATTTTACGGAATGTAGTTTTATTTCGTTTGTTATGTTGGTAGTAATGAAAGTAATGTCTGAAGTCAGTAGTAGTAGTGCCATTTGAGAAAAGTAGAAAATTAATTGAATAAAACCCTATTATTTGAATAAAAATAAAAACATATTTTACGGAATGTAGTTTTATTTCATTTGTTATGTTGGTAGTAATGAAAGTAATATCTAATAGTCCAGTAGCAGTAGTGCCATTTGGTGATCCCAAATAGTAGGAAATTAATTATAGAACCCTATTATTTGAAACAATTAAAGAAAATATTTTACGTCATGTAATTTTATTTCGTTTGTTATGTTGGTAATAGGGAGACGAATGTCTGAAGTCAGTAGTGCAACTGTCATCTTGGAGCAGCAGCAAATTGATCACACAGGACCCTATCTTTTATAAAAGTAAAATTATATTTTATAGAATGTAGTTTTATTTCGCTTGTTATTGAGATGAATATCTGAAGTCAGTAGTGGAAGTACCATTTTGAAACAGCAGTAAATTGATCGAATAGGACCCTTTCTTTTTTTACAAATTAAAAAATACACAGGACTCTCTTTTTACCTAAAATTATTATACTGATTGTTTTATTTTTTGTCTTGGGCAATTGGACAATTCAGACAGCGTCATCATATCAAGGTAAGTAGATCTTGTGTTGATAATAATGAATGTTATATTTGAAGTCAATAGTGTAACTGCCATCTGGCAGCAGTAGGACTCTATATTTTCTAAAAAAAACAGCATTGTGTAGTTTTTTAAACTAATTAAACACTATTATATATAAATTCATATATTTAATGTCTGTACATGCAAAAAGAATAAGAAATCAACGCAATAGAATCTATAAAAATTATTGTAAAAACCTATTTATTTTGGTACATTTGTATGTATTTAAAAAAAAATTGAAAACATTAAAATCTTAAGTTTCAGTCTGCTTTTATCAAGTTAATTGGCTAGCCGAAGCCTAGACGATAAGAATAGTGATAAAATATTGTAATGTGTATAACAGAAGACCCGGTCAACAATACTAGTGGTCGAAATTCGACCATAAATAAATTCAATTATAAGTTTGAACATTATTGAGTTTCTGTTGTCAGAAACTATATTTCTATAAGCACAGGAACTAGGAGTCGCACAGATAATAAACAAAAGAGTGTATATGATTTTTTTCCGAACTACTCTAATGTTGGCCACCAGCTGAACTTTTCAGCTTCACCGGACGATAGGGGGCAGATGGCATTCCAAACCAAAGGAAGCACTTATGGAGCTGCTGAAGACCAACTCCCACCTGACAGATTGAGTGTGTGAAATACGTGGCAGTGTGTTTTTTTTTATTGATTTAATATATTATTTATGGATTAGTTTAGTGTCTCCTTCTCAATATAAAAACTATAAGTGTCCGAAACTTTATATTCCTCCGTCGGCACAATTTTCGTATAAAGGGGTACAAAGTTTTTGCTTCGCGTATTAATATAATGATAAATTAATTAATTATAATTAATGTTCATTAACCACATAAGTTTAAAAATTACTAATTGTAAAATTATTATAGAATAAATAAATATTGATATAGTAAATGAAATATATATATAGAAAAGCCTTGCTCACATATCTTTCAGAAAATGAAAATAACTAATTAAAAATTCATTGCATATTCAGATAAGAATTCACGGCGATGTTTTTCTCGGTTTTACTGATGTCCATGTTTCTTCATGTTTACGGGTATGTGGCTAGTTTCATATATATTTATACTATAACAGTGGCAAACAAGCATACGGCCTACCTGATGCATACGATTATCGTACCTATAGAAACTGAAACGCCTGAAATACCAGACGTATCACATGCGCATTGCCGCCTTCATCCGAATACGAACTTAATATAAGCACTTTTGAATAGTCCTTTTTTATTCTACCGCTTATTTGGAATGCAGACTCATCACAAGAAGTTTGAGCAAGAAATTTGCGTGTTGCTCTTTTAGGTACACGTTGTTCTAAGTAAATCTTAATGTTAATCTTAATAATATTATAAATGCGAAAGTTTGTAAGTATGCATGTTATTCTTTCACACAAATACTACTGAACAGATTTTGATGAAACTTTACTATAATGTAGCTTATGCATCAGAATAACACGTAGGCAACAATGTATTTCTAATGTTATGTAAAATACATATTTTGTTGGTTATTAATAATCACAAAACATGTTAAAGACATTTTTTATCTTTAAAAAATTATTTAGCACTAAATAACACATTAAATATATTTAAAAAAATTAGGGATACCTACAGTAACTGCACTCGTGCCGAGCTGTATCCGGTTGCTTAAAATATTAATCGTTTTAGTATCATAGGCGGATACGATATCGACATACAGGATGCTCCGTATCAAATCAATTACGGGGACATTTGCGGCGGCGTGCTTATTGGTGAAAATTGGGCGATTACCACAGCGCACTGCGGGTGAGAATTTTAAATTTCACGCAGTACATAAAAGGAAATATTTACCACGATTCCAGAGCTATCAATATTTGAACGCTATTACAAACGTACTTATGATTCGGACTTTGGCACAAAAAATACATCTTATTATCTAAATATATATATATATATAACTCAAAGGTGCCTGACATAGTGATCTATCAACGCACAGCCCAAACCACTGGACGGATTGGGCTGAAATTTGGCATGCAGGTACATGTTATGATGTAGGCATCTGCTAAGAAAGGATTTTGATTAATTCTATCCCCAAAGGGATAAAAGTTTGTATTAAACTTTGTAAATTTTAAACCGATCGGGCTGATACTTTGCATGCATAAAGCTACTATGACGTAGGCATTCCCTAAGAAAGGATTTTAGATAAATTCCACCTCTAAGGGGATAAATAAACGCGAGCGAAGCCGCGGGCAAAAGCTAGTCATATATAAATTGAAATGTGTATTATGCATCATAATATTAATTCGTTAAGCAAAACTTTGTATCTCTTTTTACGAAAATTGCGCCGACGGAAAAGTATGAATTTTCGTATATAGGGAATGAGTGCAGAAAACTAATATTTTTTTAAAATTATGAATAACAAATACATTAAATTAATATAAATTAAAAAAAAAGTTAATTGCCACCTTTTATACTACTGGCCGAAGAAGGTTGTGTGTATATACCGTATACCGATTACCGTCGACAGTGCCGTGACCACAAAGACGATTTATATTTTTTTTTGTTTTTAAGGTATAGTATATGCCTCAAGTAGCAAAAAAAATATGTCAAAAGTTTCGTACTCTATTTCTAGAACAGAACCTAACTACATAAAAATAGGAAGCAGATATCGTCACAGTGGGTTCAAAGTGAAGATTACCAAGCACATACTTCATCCAATATATGGAAGAAGCCACAGGTTTGATTATGATATCCAACTGTTGAAGTTTAGGAGACTACACTTTTCCAAGTTGGTGGCAGGTATACGCATAAGTGAGGGGGAGTGTGGGAGTATTCGAGTGTCAGGTTGGGGATATCCGAAGGAAAAGGTTAGTATTAAGAACAAATTAAGTATATGTTAGAGATTTTCAAGAAAGGTATATTAAGGTTTTTAAAGGGTTGGCAGCGCGCACGTGACCCCCTTAATGTTTTAGGCATATACAGGCTACGGTAACCGTTTACTGTTAGATAGGCTTACAAATTTATACAAAAATAGTACAATAAAAAAATAAAAAAATAAATGTTAGGTTAGGAATCAGTCAAGTACCTTTTTGTTGCGTTGCTCTTCTTTTGCAGCTCACACACACGTAGCAATGAGGACATACACATATGAAGACACAACGGTATATTGCACAACACCGGGTATTAATATATGTTAAGAAAAATTCGCGGGCGCGTATTGTGCTGTTTCTGAACATTATGTTTTTGTCAGTAAAGTCACAGAACAGAGGGTACTCAAGAAAAAAATAGATACTATCTACTTATATTAAAGAACGGTTAATTTTTAACACGGCCAACAAAATGGGGAAGCGGTAATCATTCAGCATTAGGTGAGGCGATAGGTCGTTTCTCTCCTATGCTATAAAAAAGCGTTATCATGTGACACCTGTTATAACACTCATGCGTTGCTATTTCAGAGTACTTAGATGTCATGCCACTTATACTGTAATTATGTAATTTTATTACGAGGACCGTCATAAGAAATTGACGAAATTCAGACGAGTAAGGCCTCGCAATGTAACTTTATTTGTAGGGTGATTATAATGATGTTTTACAACAAGTTCAACTGAATATAGTACCCATGGAGATCTGTCAGGCTGTGAACAGGCCATATTACAATCAGACACTGACTGAGAGGATGTTCTGCGCAGGTGGAGATGAACAGGATGCCTGTCAGGTGAGCAAAAGTATAGTAAGTTAACGAATGGCAACATATGGAAGAATTTCCTAAGAAACAAAGCTATTAAAAATGATAAATTATACTTAATAAGTTGATCAAGTTTATAATGTTTTTGCAAAGAAATAACAGACTCTGTTGAGTTATTCATAGAAGAGTTATTTGTTATTTTTATTTATACCTTAGTGAATTAAATACATATACACACAAAATATTTTTGTTACATTTCAGTAATGTACTCGCAATGTACTGAAATCCCACTGCCTAAATTAGACGGTATGAAACAAAAAAAATATATAAGAAACTTTTATGAAGGTTCATAAAAGGCTATAATGAAGAAGAATTAATTATTAATTAAATTGAATTGTAATTCAAGAACTAGACAGGAATATAAATAAATATTAAAATACTAATCTGACTATACTAATCTACTAATTTGACCTATAAATAATAATAAAGTGTTATAAAATATTAACAAGTGCCACGTTTTATATGTGATTGTTCCTACAAGACAATCTTTAAATTGTTACACTATCTAGGTTGTTGAATATTACTAGTAATGTTTTTGTATGCAGGGCGACAGTGGTGGTTCAGCGGTGTCTTTCGGTCGGCTTGTCGGTCTGTCCGCGTTCGGTTTCGGGTGTGGCAGAAACATCCCCGGAGTGTACGTTAATGTATCTAATAAATATATAAGAAATTGGATTCGATACTACACTGGTACATAAATAAATATATTATAAACGTAACAATATAAGCGAATATTTATCTGTGTCTTCTTTATCCCTTTAGTAAGTAATAGGCTTTGCTTTCACCAGTGTCGGAGAAGAAGAGATATTTGAAGAGTATTCATCTCCCATAGTATTAGCATTGAATGCGTAGGAATGAAGAGATTATTTCAAAAAAAGTAGTATGTTTTTTTTTCGGATTACTCTAATGCTGTTGGCCGCAGCTGGCCTTTACAGCTTCACCGGACGTTAGGGGGCGAGTGCAGATGGCACTCCAAACCCGCGGAAGGACTTATGGAGCGGCTGAAGGCCAACTCCTGCCTGACGGATATGACTTTAGTCTGATGGCACCACTAGGGGTTCGAACCTCGGTTCAGGCCGTCGTAATTTCGATCCCCGTATGAATTGCACGGGGGATCGATCGGGCGCCCGGGGGTGCCGGTAAAGTAGTATGTATGAATGTCGATGGTTATAAGGGCAGAGGACGGCATAAAAAGAGATGGATGGACTGTGTAAAAGACGATAAGCGAAGAAAGAGAGCGAGTAACGAGAAGACTGCGACAGTCATTTTGTGGTTGGCGTAATATGTTTTTCTCTTCCATTCATCTCTGTTCGCAGTAATCTCTTTATTCACTGATTTTCTTGGCCTTTTATCACCATCTCTTTCATTCTCATTTTTTGGGCTTCCTCTATCCTTATAACCGCCCACATTCTTAAATACAATTTTATTTTTAATTCTTATAATTCTTAAGCATTACATGCTCATACCAAGACTGACGATTACTCTTTAACTTCTCCGACATTGATGAAAGCAAAGCCTATTCCTGTTGGTCATGTACTGAATTTACAATTTAATGTTATAAGTAAATATATAACACTTGACTTCAATTTTCTAGTCGATTTTCTTGCTGCTTCTTCTCAATTGAATATCTAGATTGAACTTGCATGGCAATGATAAAAATATTGATACAAAAAACTATGTATATATGAATTTAAGGTTGACTGGAAGAGATTGCATTTTAGCGATAAGGCTGCCCGTTTTTTTTTTGTTATATATTTTCATACAAAGATATATTATGTACTTATTTGTATCTCATATGAGAGGAACAATAATATTTCAATATTTCATTCGTTCAAAAAGACTTGCATAGTGACTAAAATGAGCAAACATCACCAAAAGGCAGTGTAATGAAAAATTGTAAAAGCTGTTTAATCCATCTGTAATCCTGTCATCAGTGACAAAGCCTGGAGCAGCATCAACGCATCCTGCAAAAGCACAAAGCTCCAAGCTTCAATCGGACTTTGTACGTACGAAAAATTCAGCGAAAATGATTTAAATATTTCACCATCCCACCACCTTACCACCCGGTGGTACATAATGGCGGTATATAACCGATAGCGTATATATTGTGTTAATATAATTATCTCGCTTCAATTTTGTATAAAACTTTCTGTGTGTGCACTTTATTTTGCAGTGTGAGTGCGCGGAATGCGTGCACATGTATGCAAGGTGCAGTTGTGTGCGTTTATTTTATCTACAAACGTTGTTTGCCGTGTATTGATGTGGGGGTGACCGGGTTGGGGGGGCAGACCCCCTTTGGGGAGTCATCATGACGATGACGGCGAGTCTGCGCAGTTGGTAGAAAGAGATAGGTGTACAAAAAGTCTAGGCATAGCCTATAGCGCATACTAGCCGTTTCACCTGAAATTGCCTGCAATTACGATGTATTGATGTCCGTATGCATTCGGCATGAAATGGTACCGTTGCATGGACATTAAAATTTATTAATAACCACAGAAGAATAGTTATTCGCACTTGTTAATAATGAAAGTTTTATTATATGTAATAGGATTGGTAAACTATCTGACTGCCCACACGATGTAACATTTTTTTTCGTTTTTTCCACAGACAGAATACGTGCTACTATAAATTTCATCATCATCAGCTTCTTCCTTATCCCATTCATTTGGGGTCGGCGTAATATGTCTTTCTCTTCAATTCATCTCTGTTCGCAGTCTTTTTCTTACTTACTCTCCTTCTTGCCTTATCGTCGATACATGTTGTCCTTTAATATATTGTTTATGCCTTTTTCTTTACTGTGTGTTACAAATAAAGTATATTCTATCTATCTATCTTTTTCACAGTTCATCCATCTCTTTTATGCCTTCCTTTGCCCTTATAACCATCGACGTTCCTATATACCACTTTCTTACAAATATTCTTATATTACATATATTATATTAATCTTCAACTTGTCCGTTACTGGCGAAAGCAAAGCCTAGCGGTTTAGCACACCACTTTACTTCCGATGGTCGCAGGTTTGATTCCTCGCATAGTACAGTGTGTACAGTACAATAGTGTACATTTGTTTTCATGTGTATATTTGTTTGTATCGGCCTGAGTTTTTATTATGTATATTATTTACAAAAAAAATCTAAGTATTTGTTTCAATTGTCTAGTACCTACCCATAACGCAAGTTCTCGTTAACTTGGGACTAGATGGCGCTGCATGAATTGTCCAGACTTTTTATTATTATTTATTGTTATATATATACTAATTTTTATTCTAAATCCATAGAGCCGTTTAAGCATTATTGAGTAACAAACATACGTCCGAATATGTTCACAAATTATTATATTTATATTATTAGTAAGATTAAACAAAACGAATAGTTAAATTCAGGCATTGATAATAAATATATTAATATCTGATAATTTTTATGTCCAGGTATATTTCCATGGGGCTTTATGCGAGTGACATGAAAATCAGGTACGGTCCACATAAACAGGGTGAGGTCCATATTTAAACAAATTCAATTTCAAAATGTGTTTATTCATGTAGGTCTATTACAAACTCTTATGATATGTCAAATCTACCGTCAGTTCGAAATTATTTCGAGATCCTAAGAACTAACAAGAAACTCAGCTCGTATTCTTTTCAAATAAATGTTATACATATATACAATTATACAATCAAATTTTATTTTGTTTCAGACGCTTATAGGGTACCGTAATCGTTTACCATCAGATGGGCCGTATGTTTTTTTGCCACCTATGTAGTTTAAAAAAATATATATCTGTATATGATAAAATATTATAATGCGGGGCAACAGTGGAGGATGAACATGAGGTTAGCTTAGTTGGTGTCCATCGTGACAAATTTACCAGGAATTTGTCGTCATCATTTCTAGGGGAACCGCATGGAGATTAACCTAATATTTTACGTTGCTTGCAATGGGACCCCATTACTACTGCAAACCATCGTTATAACTGCTTGGTGAAATTGTCATGATGGGCTATCTGATTTGCTCTCATGCTCATCTTATCATCCTCCGCTGGTGCCCCGCCAGTTAAACCGTTGGCGCAGGTGGGTGTACCATTCCATTCTCGTCCTTAAAAAAATATACACATACATATGCGACCAAACATACATACATACATCTATTAGTTTTTTTGTGCGTGATCATTCGATATATGTGGATATATATATAAACTACTGTAACCGCTTACCATCAGGCTGACCGTAAGTTCATCGTCCTTTTGTAAAAAATAATGCATATATTGCTGATCAAAAAGTATGCATGTTTTTTGCTGACAGTACGCTAGGCTTTGTGTTCTGCAGTTAATAGTGACATAGAGAATTTTGCGCACCCCATAAGCTAAGGGATTATTTGTCGCGTGTAACGAGTGCGGATTCGAAACCGCCCATCAGCGAATGTGCACTTAACGAGTTGTATGTGAATATATGATTAACTAGTTAATGAATTACAGGACTGAGTTTTATGTATGATATTTGTCGCCAAATACCTTTGTTATCTTTGAAATCGGTTAAATTGAATTTTAATATAATGCTTTCTCGAATATAGATTTGGAGGTTTTATGTAATACGACGATGACAAACAAGCATACGGCCTATCTGATGGTAAACACGTAGACACCGTAGCCTACGGACGCTGTTCCAGCGTCCGTAGGCTACGGTATGGTACCAGAGATGTTATGTGGCTATTACTGACTCTTAAGAAACCTTAATGTACCGTTCTTGAAGAACCCCATGTTGTATTTCATGATGTCTGTACCCCATCATGTCGCTCGAGAATACCTCAGCACATAGTTCATTTCACAATCTAAGAGGAGGTTAAGATCGAGAGGATTGTATTTGTATATTCTCCATTTATCTCTAATCCAAAATAGAGAATGAAGGAAAAATGTTTAACAATAGCCGTGCCCGCGGTTTTACCCGAGTAGAATTGATAGCCTACGTGTTATTCTAATATATTATTGTAAAGTTTCATGAAAATCCATTCAGTAGTTTTTGCGTAAAAGATTAGAAAACCGTCCATCTATAGTTACAAACTTTCACGTTCATAACATTAGTAAGATGTAGGTTATACCTTATAAATACAATAATGATGGTAATCTGATGGTAAGTGGTAACTATCACCTTAATACACGAACAACATTAGATGTCACGACATCATGTAATCCAGAGGTTCCACTCATAGGTCCCATTCCCATGGATTAAGATGTCATGGCTGTACCCTGTAATTTCACTGTTCACTGAAACACAGCTTACAAAGCAAGCTTGATTACTTTTCATATTTTCATAGTTTAGGTAAGACACAAAGACTCAGCCCATACAGCCATTGTCTTCGTTTATAAAAAGACATTAATCATTATTACTCTGGAATATTTTTAAATTATTCTAATTTCAAACTTTACGGTCCTAGATTGTTTTTTTTTATATTGTATTTAAAAGAAATAAATTCTGGTAGCTTCTTTTCTTAAATCTAATCGGCCAATTGTAAAATATACAATTAATTAGTTTCAAATGCCTTTTAAATTATTGTTATTACTTATATTTAAAAATTTCAGCTCGATTATATGAATTTAATTTGGCCAGTTGTAATATGTTAATTGTATTGAGTTTTGTTGTCCAATGAATAGTCTAGTTATAGGGCAACTGTAACTACGAAGTGGCTTTATCCTGGACAGTATTCAATTGCGAAACAGCATCACGGGTCATCGACCCTAGGAGGGTGAGTGTCACAAGCTGCGAACAAACATTGAAATACATACATACCTAAATATAATACATAGTATATAAGTACATACATACACATGGCATATATATATTATATAACGTAAGTAAAGTAGTTTTAACAAAATCCAATGTTAGTTTAACAGAAATCGCTATTTTCTATAAGATTCTTTGCATGACAAAATTTCCTATATTTTCTGTTTAGTTATATTATGATTTCGAAAATCTATCTGTCCGTTACGCTGCATGTTGACAGCGTGTAAATTGTTAAGAGGGCGATCATAGGCTACCTTTTATCTAAAACTAACTACTCGCCCCGGCTTCGTACTTCGTACATGTATTATATAAATAAACCTTCCTCTTAAAGCACTCTATCTATTACAAAAAAACCACTTCAAAATCCGTTGCGTAGTTTTAAAGATTTAACCATAAATAGGGACGGACAGACAGCGAGAGCGACTTACTATGTAATGATAATGAAGAAACAAACGAATATAGTTTATATGCATATATTACATATTGTACATACTTAGTGATGTTTATGAGTATAATAATATACAATAATATATAATAATATTTCATGAATGTAGAAATAAAATAACGGTTATAATGATGACAGCTGACAGTTTTTAATTAAGAACTGATAATATATAAAATTAATTAAAAAATATGAAAAAATATACAAAATTATTTTACATGTAAAATTAGTATTTATTTCATTCTGGTATTAGCTTATTAACAATATGGACAGGATAGAAGGTGCTTCTCCATCCCAAATACTATGTATATACTAGAATTCATGATTGGATAAGACTTTTCGTCTTGAAAGGGTTTTTTGCTAGTAAATGGTAAAGACGGCTATATACTTGAATAGTAAATCGGATATCACGTTATCAGCTAACGTTTGTGATAAAACTGAAGCGTTGTTATTTCAGAGGCCTTAGATGTTATGTCTCTTATGCTGTAATTTCACTGCCTTTTCTCAATCTTCAACTGAAACCTTCTTGCGATCTTGCTTGGTGGCTGAAACAGGTGAGGTATTGAGTGGAAGACGTTTTTTTAATATTATTTAATAATTTTAGTGCTCTAACTACTTATAATTATAAGATTGAATAAATCATGGATGCACACACACGCAAAATCAGTTAACGAATCAAACGCTGAGTACCTCCTGAATCACACACGCATAGAACACTGCGTTGAGTTTTATAATAAACACATAAAATCATTATTTGATGATTTCGAGGTGCACGCGAGTCATTGGGATGGGCCGGGAGTTTGGGAGGCAGGGGTCAACT